TTTCTTTGTAATTATCATCATTAACAGAACGAGAGAAATACATACTTCATGTAAATAATTTTTACTGTTATAATCAGCGTCAGCAGAGCAATAAAAATCTTTTTTCCTAACACGCAAAAGTTATTGATATAAAGACTCCAAATCGCAGAATAACATGCCTCGTTAGATAAAACGATAGTTATAAGCAGATCCATTTGCTAATGTAAGCAACAAATCCTTTTCTAGCGGATTAGCTGCAGTTTTACAGCATAATGCAATATTATATCATAATTATAATTTTAGTGACATCTTTAAATGTCTTAACCTACTATTAGAGTTTGATTCAGTGATTTTATTGCAGTTATTCCTTTTCAGCAAATGAATATTTGGTTCATATCTGATAACTTTAATAGGTTAAAGCATAAAAAAGATAACTACTTCAGCATCTATTTGTCAAAAAACAGAGCAAAAAACATTCTATATCGTTATCATATTCAAAATCTTTGCAGCGAATTCCTTTCCAGCCTGAATAATAATAAGTCTGAATAATAAGTCTGAGAAAAGCATTAAGTGTAAGAAGAAATCAGAATCGCACTTCCATGGTCAGTTAAGCAGAACTGATTCGTACTCCGAGAGTATACTTGGATATATCCGAGACATGTGTGTTGGGAGGGGAGGTGGAGATTATACTGTGGATTTAATGAAATTAATTACATTTTCATAATAATCTCAATTCTACCCATACGCACAAAAGAACAACAACAAATTTACATAATGCAAAAAAATTAGCTCATATTTGTCTTCTATTCAATGCAATCTGCTCTTGAAAAAATTTATGTTCTAAACCGCTTGGTATTCTTATGAAATTATTTAAATAATTTTCAGTGTTTATTATTCAGATTTGTTAATAATACATTATAAAGTATTTCCTCCCTCCTTCCAGCATCCCTTTATGGTAAACGGTAGCACATTTGGCGCGTATTCGAGAGGTCCAGGTTCGAGTTAGGGTGAAGGCATTCCTCCTTTTTGCCTTGCTTCATACCAAATGAAAACTTTAAATTCCCAGTTATCCGTTTGAAGATTATCCGAACATTGGTCCCTCAGCGGAAAGAGGGATTTAAAAACATTTCAAAATATTATGAGAGCTATTGATCTATTCTTTTTTCATCCTTTAATTTACAATTTCAAAAGAAATGATGGGAAAACCATTTTATATAGAATACCACTTGCATTAAAAATGTTTGCGCAAAAATTGCAATATTTAAAAGGCGTCAGTAATAAAAAATATGTATGAAGTGACGTTATTCCATATGGGGTAACTCGTATAGTAGTGCAAACGGATCTAAAGTATCTTTCGACCATTCGGTGCGATGCCTTACTTTCAGCACAGCGTTTGAGCAATGAAACTTTGATTTCTTGAGAAAGAAGAAGATCCTTGTCATGCCACAATCGCTTTATTTTCCAAATTTCGTCGTTCTCTTTTATTATCACCAGGCCTAATTTTTCCAAGGGCAAACAATGAATGTGCTTCGATCCTCCAAATTTCACTACAGTATTTAGAATATGTAAAATTTTAGGCAATTTTCAGATTTAGATTTTGAATATATATAAAATTAGAAGGCATCCTGAAATCAGAAAAAGGATTATTGATGCAAATCATTGCTTCTTTAGTTTAGGACCTCTTCTGAAATTCCATCTAATAACGAGGACAAGAATTCTGTCATACAAGGTATTAATAAAATTAGTTTTAAAGTATGTTTCAGAGATGTGGATCTGACTATGAGGGAAGAACAGCTTTGGGGATCTTTGAAAAGAATATTCTGAGAAATTTATTTTTGGTGCTGTTTTGCGGAATAATATATGACGTAAACGGTACAGCTTCGAACTCTACAAAATTTATAAAGCTGAGGATATTATTAAATTCATAAAATTAAGTACAAGGAGATGTGCAGGTCACCTCCTGAGAATGAATGCAGAGAGAACAGTTCTTTAATGCAACTGGAAATGTTTGTGGAAGATCAAGAAAATATGAAGGGACTGCCTGAATGAGGATTTTGCCATTCTAAAAATTAAGAACTGAAGATCAATTGCTGGAAGGAGGGTTAAATGGCCTCTGAAGAAGGCCATGGCCCACAAGGGGCTGTCATGTCCATTCTGATGTTGATAAATTAGAAGTAGGAATTAGGCGTAAGACTTTGTATTTTAGACTTTTATGCCTTTCTTTTAGTAAACAAATCTTGCGCTTTTCTTTCTCGATGTCCTGCGGCATCATTTAGTAAATCAATCAAACATTTATTTTTTTTTTCAATTTACTGAATCTTATTTCTATAAGAATTATTTAATTGCTAAAGAAAAAATAATTAAAATGATCTGAATTTTTTTGTCATTTAAAATTAGATTATTTATTATAATTTATAACGAGGGAGATGACATGATTTTGTAAACTCCAAAATAAATTTTAAAGAAGGTCAGCACCTAATACCATATAATGACCCATCGGAAGGAATGATAACTTGCATGTATGACATAAACTGAATTTTTTAATTCTACATTTTATATTAAAAAAGTTCTTCATGAAGGCATCCTTGCCTATAGGCAGATAGCCTTCTCATTCTTTGTCTAGATAAATCCAAACTGATTAATGGTAGATTTTGTTTGTTTCGAAATACTTTGCGTCATTTTCGAAAATAAGAGAATTCCCCAATTGCTGTTTGTTAGCGTTGTAACAAGTAACGTTCTTTTATATGAGATAAATATCCGTGCCCCTACCGTTATTCGAGTCACCATCTGAAAAGTAACAAAAAGTTAAAATGTAGCATTATTCAAAACAGCGTATTATTCATCATGAAATGCATATAATAAGACAACATATTGGGGCTAAAAAATTCTTGCTTTACTAAATCTTTTTGCTAGCTTTATCCTTGACTTCATACCGCTTGAAAAACTTTTCCGATATTAAGCTCTTTTATAAAGGACATTCAATAACCGTAAAGGCAAAATTTTACTCTAACTCTGCACAGAGAAAGATTAAAAGAAACGAACCGTATTATGAAGGTTAAATGTTAAATTATGAAGGTCACTTTGGGGAAAATCAGCTGTATCTTCGAAATTTAATTATTGAGAAAAATACTGAATTACGAACTTGATGAAGGTAATGACAGAGGTTAAAAAAACAATACATATTTTTTTAACTGGTAAATAAGTTCTAGACTTAATAATAGCTGCGGTAATCTTTAAAGCTTTCTTAGATTCAATCGTGTTACTTAACCTTGAAAATTAGTTGCACTCTGATATAAAAATTTTAATTTTTGCATTATTCACCAGCTTAATAATGGAATGTTAATACGGTATATATTTTAAACACTTGGAAAAAAGAAAAGATTTAAACGCAAAAAATGGGTCCCTTAATACGTTACCCAATAGTGTTCCAAAACACATTGTTTTAATGCTCATTCTAAGAGAGTAGGATATAATCAAATTTGTAATGGCCTTTAATTCAATAAATCCTAGAATTATAGTTTGACTCAGCTGGCATTTAATTGTCAAAAACAGCTGATTGCAAAAACGCTAATCTGGAATGAATACTGGTGGAAATTCCTTATCAAGTAAAATAATAATAATAATAATAATAATTCTGAAAGCTTTCAGATTTTATATTACGTCCAAAGAGGCGTTCTTTTAATGTTTTGTGTGTTACCTTTATTTATTTAATATCATGTTCTTCGCACTTAAACCATAAAATTCAATTCAACAGCAATATCACAAAATATTTAAAACAGCATATATTTTGAATTTCCAATACACAGTCTCGCACGCTGGAGATAAAAATGTTTTATTCAGTACATTGTTGCCATTGCGCACTTTGAAATCGTTGAGATTCTTAATCAAAAATTCATAAATGCTTTACAAAATATGAAACAGATAACAAAACAAATTCCAAATTTGGGCTTCTAGCTGCGCATATTCGGGTGGAGACACGTTTTTCAAAATTGGATAGCTTTACAAAAAGTAAAAATGTAGCATTATTCAAAACAGCATATGCATCATGAAATGCGTATTAGTAAGACAACATATTGATCAAATAATTATTTTTTGTACATATATATGAAATGTAATTTCTCATACATTATTTGTTTTGTGCAGCCGGGGCAACAGGAATGAGACAAATTTTGGAATATAAAGTGGTAGGTTTATTTTAGCATCCATCTCACAAGCGTTTTTTTTTTTTTTTCGTACCTTGAGCAGAAGCCCTATTTATACATATGTGTGCGTCATGAGGCTCATCCAATCAGCGATATTAATTGAAATCACGAGGTGACGCTATCTTCTCATCAGGAGTGTTCTAAAGGACTTTATGTAATATGACAGATTTATGAGTTTGGCGATTTGGCGGGCGCCAACAGGTTAATATATTTTATACTAAAGAAAGGATTTCGCCAAAATTTAGGAACAGGGATGCAATTTAGGTAGAGAATCGCCAACACATTATTAAGCAATATTATTAGAATTTAATTTAATCAATTGATTTAAAAATATCATTTCATATATATATATATGTGTGTGTGCAATGATTTGAGAAGCTTCACACAAAACCAAAATGCTAAAAAATTCTTGCCGTTGTTTTATCACAATGTAAGAACATACATACATTTATGAAGATTTTTCCTTCCTTACTTTCTTTAAATATAATACAGGGCTCTAATATTTGGTGGCAACAATTTAAAAAGCGATTCGCGTTTATAGTAAATCAACGTAAAATGCCCGAACGAAATTAATAGCCCTTTGGGCAAATTGCTACTTTGGGTTACTTATTTCTGAGCAAAGTTGACCAAGTTTATTTATGTATATATTTTAAGTTTTCTACTAGAATTTTACTCGTTAACAAGTCTTACATTCAATAAAACAGAAGTACAAGGCTGGTGAAGAACATTAAAAAAAAATATTCGATGATTGTGAAGTAAATGCTTTGTTACCACCTGCTTAATTATGTCAATTTCTCATTCATTTACAGAAGCACTTACCAGAAGGATGCAAAGGAGGCACAAGGCGACGCCTGCCACAGCTGATATTGATACAGCTGCTACGAATCCAGAATTAAGCTCGGGTATCACTGGCAGCTGAGTGGCTTGTATTTCGCTGTTGTAAAATCTTACTTCCATGACCTAAAAGGAAAAAAAGTTTTCATCCATCTCGAACTTTCTGCTTTTGTAACTTTCATTAAAAGGTTCGGAGCATCAATAAGCAAGACAGCACAATAGTTTATAAAGTTTATTATTTAATTTTAAAATTTATGAAAGATTCCAAGAAGAGAGGCATAAAAGAAGTTACTAACAGAATTCGATTAACTTTGTCAAGTAACGTGCTCGAATGCAACAAATTCTGCTAAAGAATTTACGGGAGATAGTATCCAAAAGTTCCCGATGTAATATACTTCTAAAAGGACATACTGAAAAACTGTGTTAATTTTCACATAGTTCTATTATTTTTGACACACTTTTCATACTCTTTAATTAACAGAATAACCTGAAGAATTCTTAGCAAAATATTCCAAAACATTCTATTTGAGCAAAATATTTCAATTAAGATGAAAACAGCAGCTTAAATATTTTCACCTCTTTATCATCATGTGACTTGTCTGATAATAACACCTGATCAAGTCTCCGAATTTTATTGTGGCGAGTAACTCAGGATTCTGATTGTGTTGACAGAGTATTCGGGCACTGTGTACGACTGACAATACCAGTTCCGTCTCAATTTTGAAAGAGAATATCCCGAGGTATAAGGGTCTCCCACTTCTCTTTGCCTATTACGAAGCGACTCGAGACAGCTTTCGCATGTCCGTGTATTTTAAGTGCCTCCATGTCTCAAAGACATTATACACTTACAAACATCCAAGTCTGCCTCGGGATTTCTAACCGAGGCTCAACGAAACGGCAGTTAGCAATAATAAGCATTATGTTGATCCAGGCCGCCATCATTACACTTTTTCCCATGATTTGAGTTTACAGAACACTTGGAGCTGGATCTGCATTCTGAAGGAAATAGACAGTCTCCTGAAACTAACATTACTTTACTGCTTCTTTGGCCAATTGCAACTGTGTGGATTCAAGCATTATCATAGAGAAGACCTGCTCTGCTCAACGTTCCTCATCTTTCTTTCTTTCTTTTTTTTTTTTTTTTAAATTTCATTTCGCAATTCATGCACCTTGCATAATGTTGCAACTTATATAATATTCTCACTTGTTATGCTCTTTTCTCTGAGTATTACTAAAATTCCTTAAGAGTTAAAAAAAAATTAAGACCACAATCTTTTTCGTTGATTGCTGCACTTTTGATTTTCTTGAAGGTGCTATTTCCGATTTTCTCCATTCCACGAACTCCCTCTTTGATAGAGGATCATAATATAGAACCATGTTTTCATTTCCTGTTACGACTGACTATCAAAATGTTTACTGATTAGCAACAATCTCTTGAATAGTCGACATGCTGTAGTTTTTGAATCGCTGACAGAAATCAGAGCAACCTGCTTGTAGAGGTTGCTTATAATAGCTTATTTATGGACATGTAATCTCCTTCATTTTTAACTACCTTGTCACCCAACACTTCTGCCTTGACCAAAGTAGTGCCTTCTGATTATCTGCACCCCTAATTTCAATATTCGATAGAACTGAAGTATTTTTGGCGTATTATCGAGTATACATGTGACAGTAGCTAACACACACATACATATACATGTTTCAGTACACGTGGATTTACATGCTTTAAACCTTATTTCGCTGAGTACAGTCAGTCGGCTGTACGGGTTGGATTGGATTGGATTATTTGTGTTACGGCAAAGCACACGAAACTGCCTGAAAGAAAGATTTAATTCCAAGAGAAACTGGCTTCTATTCCGTGGGAATAGCCATGAAATTTCTCATGCTGCCGCTTTTTTTGCCGCCACTTAAACCTGGGTAAAACTAGCAGTGTTTTGCGATTTTACCTTTCGACTGTGGTGTGGTTATCCACTAGATGTAAAAAGATAAATACTGGTTATATAAATACTTTTTTTTCTTATCAAATGTATTGTTTCCTGAAAAATTTATCTTTTTTATTATTATTTATAAACAGAGCAGAAGTTACTAGCCGTAAAGAAAGCTAAACAGGCATTCTTCATCAATTCATCAAAGTCGCCAGCGAACTTATAATAGCTTATTTACGGACACGTAATCGTACTGCCATCTCTTTCCTTTTAACTACCCCGTCACGCAATACTTCTGCCTTCACCAAAGTAGTACATTCTGATTATCTGCACCCTCAAGATTGAAACTCACTTATCATGGTTAGTGCACGAATTTATCCAAAGAAGTCACTGACGCCAGTGAACGCCAGTGATTTTTTTGGGGTGCAGATAATCGGAAGCTACACTAAGCAATATTTTCTGACATTAACACCAATTTTTGACGAGGATCATCTGTAAAAAATTCTCGTCATATGCGAAATTGTTTTACCTATTCTTTTACAATAAAATGCACAGAAGAGGAATTACTATGTTTACACCTTCTTAGTAAAAAATTAATGACTACAAGGTACTCAGTTTTAAATATTTCAGAAAATTCGTAAAGCACAAATAATTGTCACAAAGGAAATAAGATTGTTTACGTCAGTGAAATTTTCAAATTTATTCAAAACAGGAGACTGCGCACAGGAGACATCAACAGCGAAATGATTTTTTAATGAGAACTTTTGAATATTACAGCACATTTTCTAAAATATTTAGTTACGTAACACTGCAAGTTTCATAATTATTTTTCTCAAAATGTGAAACACATGCAAACTAAAAACATCTATTACTTTTAATCAAGCATAATAGTACTGGCAATCTATCTCAATCATGCATACAGAAAGCAGCTTTCTAATTTAGTGTTATGTTTTACAAGACATTATTAATAAATGATGTAATATTTTGCATAATTTAGTTACAAATGAAGTTTGGTAGAAATATGTTTATTAATAAAGAAGTAGCATATGTAAAATAAAATGCAATTTTAAAACAAAGTGATTATGAACTTATTTAATCAGTCCAGTTAGTAATTAATAATAATCGCCACAATAACTGCGAATGTGACAATTATTATATTATTAAAGAAGTGCGTCTATAGCTTTTAAATCGCCTTATTTGTTAATGAATAACAGTCATTAAATTTGAAAGTAAAACAAAATGTCTTGCGCTTTGCCGAACGGCAGCACACAAACACTTGGAGATGTGTCACCTGAATGGAGACAGTGTGGAGCCACTGTTCAAAAAAATATTGACTTTGTGAATTAAAATGCATCAAGTTACAAAAAGTATAAAATAATTTAAATCCCAGCATGAACATAAAAGTAAAACATATAAAATATAAAATAATTCAAATCCTAGTAGTGTAATTATTTATGGTAATTACTGGCAAATGAAAGCAAAGTTAGACATCTACGCATAGGTTAGTGCACGAAATAGGGAAATCAGGCGACTAATAATGTGTTACGCAAGGGATGAATATTAGAATCTTGATGTGTAGTGCTGTTTAATGCAGTTTCTGAGAGTGATCAATATTCACTGATTATGACTCAAAGGCATGATTTGAGTGAAGGGGCAAAAGTAGCAGTTACTTGGTAGACTCGGAGAAGAAACAAAAATAAAAGTGGTTGCCCAAAATTTGATTATTTCTGTAAGTGTTATATCAAGATATAGGAACCACTTTTGAGCAGTAAATCAAATAATAAACAACCATGTCATGTGCGGCAAAAACTGCATCCGAAGACAATTTTTTTATCATTGTTGGCTTGAAAAATCGTCACTTGAAATCAGCTATTCTACAGCTGCATGAAAGCTTCACGAAGTTAAATTTTATGTAAAAATACCAACGGTTTGTATTTTACTCGCTTCATCTTCCATAGGGCTTGTTTATTGGAGGTGTCGTCATCATGTTCAATTGAATTAAAAGAAAGAAGAGTTATGTTCTTTACTGGAGCAACTAGATATAGCCTGAACTGCGAATATAGATGCGTTTTGATCTGGAGGGAGAGGGAATATGCAACTTGCTTTCCCTTATTCTTCCATTCCCACGGATCTACTTCATGGTTTGGGTTGGAATCATCAAAAATGGCCTCATCAAGCTGCGTATCTTTCATGATGGTTCTGTAACCACTCGCAGAGATGTGGACGAGATCTTCGAACTGCTTGGTAAACATTCAGGGATACTGTTCGCCAGAGGTTTTGCGGTTATAGCTGAAAACATCGCAGAGAAAACAACGCAAATCGCAAAAACAAAACATTGCAGTTCTAAAATATCATGGTACAAAATATCGTGGTCGAAAATAAAGCGGTTAAAAAAACTTCGCGGTTTAAAAAACATCGTCGTCGAAAATATCGTGGTAAAAAATAAAGTACCTACAAATCATCGCATGACGATAACATCGCATACAAGTAAGTTTCAAATCGCATAGTGACATATTATGTCACTATGCGATTTGAAGGTGACAAATTACCTTCAAATAATTCAATATTATGTCACTGACTTTCGTCTTAACAAATAAACGATCTTCAAAAAATTAATTGCACGCCATACATGGAAATGTTAACGATACTTTAAGAACAAACGGAAACAAAACAATATATTATTTTCATTAAAACAATGTCAGATTAACAAACGTGAAAGAAAATCAGTTGAACAGCAATTAAGCAATTTTTATAGAGGTAACCTCATGCAGTTATTTGTCTTCCTTTTTCTAAGCATTTTTAGACTGTATTTTTCATAAAAATTATCAGTTAAACTTCATAGAAAAGAGCTTAATTTATTAATGAACTTTGTTAATTTACTGTATAAATTTAAAATTCTATTAAGCTTTCTAAGTTGCATTAATTTTCTACTCATCTTCAATTTTTAAATGCTTAAGTTTCCTTCTTACTTTTTCAGCAAAAATTTATTAGTTCGTTCAAATATATGAAATATAGAAGTAAAAGAATCCATCTTTTTTTCTTGCGCTCTGTTATCTTTATACGAGCATGCGTTTACAACTTTCAAAACCCGAAAACGCCCATGTGTGCGATTTTATCCTCATGTGATGATTTGCAGATACCTTTATTTTTTACCACGATATTTTCGACCACGATGTTTTAGAACTGCAATGTTTTCTTCTTGTGTTTTCTCCGCAACGTTTTTGGCAGACACCGGTTTTGCGGGGGATGGCAATGCTCGTCTGCATCAAGCATGTACTTATGAAAGCTATATCAGTTATCAGAATACTAGGTAACAGATAATATCATTCGAATGGATTGCCCAGCTTACTCACCACATTTGAACTTCATTAATCATGTACGGAATGCCTTAAACCGCCGAACTGAAGCCAAATGCCTTTCCCGACACTCTAGAATCTGAAAAGTGCACTTTCAGAAAAGTGGCATGCAGCTGACTGAAAGACGTGATCAACAGTTCATTAAATTCGTTGAAACTAAGATATAAAGTTTGCATTTCTGTATAGAAGCTACCATACAACACAGTAATGAAAGATTGTTGTAAATAGGGTAGATCAATTATTTGTCATTTTAAAAGTTGTAGAAATTTGACTTTAAATTCAATATTTCGAGATTAAATATAGTTATGCCACGCAAACGGTATAGTGGGTATCGTCGCTAGCTGCCGTGCCGAAGGCACGGATTCGTATCCTGGAGAAAACATGGATGTTTGTAAATGTATAGTGTCAGTGCGGCATGACGACACTAAACATGCGGCGAGCCGAAAGTGCTCTCGTGTGGTTTGGTGGAAGACACTCGGAACCGTCCCCTCTCAGAGTGCTCTCTATCAAAATTGGGGGCGGAATTGAGCTAAATCGCACTGTCATCTGAATGGTGCTCAAGGCTGTTGCCAACTACAGGCGTAAATTTGCGCTCCTTACCACGAGGAATTTTGTGGGCTTGGGCTGACTATAGGTTAGACAAGTAAAGCATTAGCAATAACAACAATTATTAAGCATAGTTTCCTTCACACTTACACCACATACAGTTCAACAACAAAATCGCAAAATTTTTAGAAGCTGCGTAGCAGCATATGTTTTGAATTCTCGACGCAGTGCTAATTGTTGGCATGGCGGTTTTTTTTTTTTTTCCCAGTTTTTTTTTTTTTTTTTCCTCAGCTCATCATATTAATGTTCAGAAATCTCCCGCTCCTTGCCACGAGGAATTTTGTGGGCTTGGGCTGGCTACGTCAAACTAGTAAGCATAAGCAACAACAACAACAAATATAGTAATTTGTGTTAAATAGCGTCTTTGCATAAAATGCTTTTTTAATCATTTTTCAATAACTAACAGTTAAGTTTTATTTCTGTCAAAATCTAAATAGTCAAAATCATTTAAAGTTTGATGAGCACTGTAACTTATCAAACAACATTTCTACCCTTTTAAACTAAATAGTGGGACCAAAGAGAATGTCATCTCATATAAGGTTGAGCGAATGAAAACAGAACGTGGACAGCAGGCTTCAAAAATAAGGTAACTGCTGTTGTTCAACTCCTGCAGGTATGAAACACATTATAGCAATTTTCATCAAGTGCGATCGGGATACTATCATTGTCAAGTATTTTAGAATTCCTTTCAAAATTCTTCTGCTACCAAACACGCAAAATGGCTTTCAAACTGGAAAATGCATTAGGAACCTTTCTCACGTACGTAGGATTACTGTTACAAGCAAACCAAGCTTCACTCGAAATGCGTCTTCGCCCATCATCATAGTGCCTTCTTTTGCTAACTACTACAATTGTTGAGCAGTATTTTCTTGTTATTTTAAACTTCATAAACAAATAATTTTTAAAAGGTATATTCAAAATGATTTTATAGTCTTCCATTCTTCTAATGGCTTATTTATCTCAATTTTTTACAACCAAGAAAGCATTAAGCACCATACTGGTATTGAAAACTATTAATAAAGGAAGTAAAGAAACTTTTTTCATGTGCATTGTACTTTTATTATTTCGATCTAGTATTTAAGAATTTAAAAATTATCTCACCGAATTTCTGAATGCAGTAGGTGCCCATTTTGTTAATATAAATCCGCAAATATCCGTGAGCCTTTCCTCATATTCTCCAGAATCGTCCGTCACATAGAATGCGACAGAAACATCAGGTGTCGCTTGGAAAGAGTGGATGGAAGAACTGCATCTTTCCGCATCTAGAATGATTTGGTGGGGATGGATGGGGCGAGTGTAATGCGAAACAGTTTTAGACAAAAATTCTTGGAAGTCCTGGGCCTGCGAACAGAATTCTTCCCAGGTTGTTTCCAGCAGTGTGATTTCAACGCATATAGGGAGACTAGAACAACCAGGATTTGTTATCCTGGGAGGTGGAGCACTTTCTTCTTCAGGAGTTGTTAAGATAGTTGTTGCATCTGAAAGAAGATAAATTTATGTTAACACTATCACTATATACAAATTACAAGGAATCTGTGATGGGCCAAAACTCATCTCAAATTTGCTTACATACACAAGGAAAGGAATAAATTAAAAATAGCGTTAATGGACTCGGTTTAGAATTAAAAAGTTAAGAATTAGAACATTAGAGACTATAGGACTGTGCCTATTTGATAAAGCTTACATTTGCTAGCTCTGTTTTAACTGACATGTTTTTATGACAATTCTTTGCTGTGCTTTCTATTTCTTTTGTCGACCGTTAGTAAAATGCAATTTAGGTTGAATTAAACAGCGACTGAATTTATAGTTAAGACAAAGCCGTGGCAAGTAACCAGTAGATAGTCACTAGCCTACTGCCGGATCTGCGTTAATTAAAGCGTGGTTTTTGTACTTTTTGCGTGGTTTTGTACTTTTTTAGGGCGAGGACTAAACTCCACGCAAAATGGAGCCGAGTTAGACGACGAATAAGTTTTCTGTTGTACACGACGTTGAAAGTAACGTCGGTGAACGTTACTTTCAACGGTTACCCTGAGTGAACGGGCGCATTGACTGCATGGGCGCATTTGTATTTTTCCCAATATGTAACGTGGATATGATCCAGTTCCCCTTAGAAAGCTTTCCATGAAGCCATTCCTAAACTTAGGTAGATAGCCCTCGTGTGCTTTGACGTAATCAAATAAACCAAACCAGTAATAATTTATGATCACTCTGTATTTTTGTGGTATTTTTCTTTTTGTTAATTGTCCTAAAGGTTTTATTCAAAAATCTTTCATAACAAGATTATTCGGATTTTCCACGCTAGGTATTACAAAACAGTCGTTTAAGGCTATCCTGTTCAGAAATCTCTAACTTTGACGAAAAATAATAGGTTACGTAACTATGTGGTAACATCTCTTCAATCAATAAATATTTTTGTTTAAAAACGTTTTTCTTCAGAAAACAAGTATTCGTAAGAACCAGACGCCGCCAAAAAACAACAAATAGGATGTATTTTAAAACTAATGGCAATTATGGGAACTTGATGACTATTTTTCTGATTTTTTTACACACATGCTGCACTTTTGAAAGATTAGAAAGCTAAAAAGAAATGCACCAGACCTGAAAAATACTAATGCACTTACGAGTTTTCATGAGAAATCCACTATAAACTCAGCTTACAGGAATTACAAATACAAAGACTCTAGAAACGATAAAGCCAGCTGAAATGTTATGCTACACTTTCGTATTAATTCTAAACTTAAGTCACGCTCTATCAAGCATGATGAAAATTCTGATTTCCCTGAAGCAATGAAATCGCTTTCCTTTATTTTTGGTTGGGATTACCACTTGCCTCGATAGAATAAACTAATCAAACTCAGATTAATCTGAATCTCCCTCAAATCAGATTCCTTGAAAGTTTCATCGAGTAATCCAGAAAACTACTTCGCTAGAAATAGTAGCAATTTATTTCATGAGCTGGCCATTGAAATTGCTACATTATGAAGGAGGCATGACAGGTATTTACAATATATACTGGGATATGCAAATGAACAGCATTGAGTAACGACATCTACATTGTGTATAAATGGGATTCGTCTGAAAGAAATGCACAGCAGCACCCATATCTGTCATTCGGAAATCACAGTTGAATATTGCATACTTGTGTCAAGGACATGTTATGCTTCCTTTAAGAGGGAAACTCTTACCAGCACGTGTCGGAATTCATCTCTGCAAGATCGTGGCCTGTTGGGACTGTGATTACCATTCCGTAACATTGCTGCTGCTCTTGGTAGGTATATTATGATTAACAGGCGAATATGGAATCGATGGGTCCAGGAGGGTTATGCTGAATGCATGAAGGATCTCAGATGCCCGGGTCACTAAAGCCCGAAAGGAAAGATATGTTGTCCTCTTGGCTTTGCGGGCTCGTACACTCCCGTAACGTACCTTGAATCAGGAACTTGGCTCATGTGCAAAACGAAAAGTGTCTGCATGGACAGTGCTACGATGTCTACAGTACCACTGAACTGTCAGTAAGACGACCACTGTTCCGATTTCCCCTAATGCTGTAGCAGACGACAAGCGCGCCTAAAATGGTGCAACGAATGACTGCACTGAGCACAGAACTGGCACCACGTCGTCGTTTTCAGACGGATCCCGATTCTAAGTAAAGCATTGTGATGGACGTATCTGTGTGTATAGGAATCAAGAACAAAAGTTGTCAGATCATATTCGTCATCGCCTTCGTCAAGCCCAGTAAGGACTTGGCGTGGTGTTATAGGATGATATTGGGTACACATCCTAGGTAACTCTTGTTCGCATAGCCGGTGATGTAAACAGCCGTCGTTATATTGCTGATGTGTTCAGACCCATGGCTGTGCCCAATCTTCGATACCTGCGTGATCACCCTTCACACAAAGGGTGTTCGACGGTTGCCCTGGGCAGCACGCTCTTCTGATCTCATGGATACTCATATGAATTTCCGACAGACTGAAAGGCCACCACTACCCAGCCACCATGATTGATGAACTTTGGCACAGAATTGAAGCCTCATGGAATGAAATACCCATATCTGTCATCCAAAGCTCAGTTCCGACTCGATGCCTGGTTGGTTTTGTTCATTGAGGGCTTTGGAACTAGCTCGTATATGGAAACTAGCTCGTATATACGTTACACATGGAGAAAACCAAGAAAACGCCTATACAGCCAGCCTGGAATCGAAACCAATACGAGATCACCATTGTTCAGCAACTTTAACGCTCGGCTGCTGTGGACCCTCGGCAACGTATGATTTTCAGAGATGTTTTGAGATAACCTCTGCCACGTAATTAACACTCAAGGGCTTCTAGTAATATCATTTTAATAATTTGCATTGCTTAACTGTCATTAATAAAGCTAGTAGCAAGTAATTTACAGGACCATGAATTCTGTCGGAGAGAGTTAGCAATGAAGACGTAAAGGAATTACTTGAGAATCATAAAATTGAAATCTTGAAGTTCAGCATGAAAGAGAAACGAAAGGTACAGCATAAGCATTTTCAATGACAATGTCATCTTTCACTTTAGAAACATTTTGAAATGTTAGTAACATCAAATGATATTGGGTAAATTTTGAGCGAAACAGAGTCCGAGTGAGTCTCAAGCAGAGTGGAACATAGAGATAATGAAAAGATCAAAGAAGATGCCGCCTAAAGGCATTTATCTGATGTTTTTATTAAAAGCTCATTAAAGGTTTTTATTATAGTCATTTTCCCCCTATGCGATTCACTTTCCTTTGTACATGTACATCAAAATAAATTAAGTTTTCGTCTATTTTAACTGTTTAATATTAAGTTTATCTATTTTATTTTAATATTTAATGATTTCCGGGGTTATGAACTTACACGCAAAGTTCTGTTGCAAAGTTTAAGTAAGTAATCACCTGTGGTCCAGGAAAGAATTAATCCATTTCGCATTAATTCCTATTGGAAAAATTAGTTTGGTTTACGAACATTTCGATTGACTAACGGCCTTCAGGAACGAACCTTCGTAAGCCGAGGTTTCACTGCATTTGTTTTTCTTCATAGTGTAGTAATTGTAATAGTCATCACTGTACTTCATGTGATAGAATGTCATAATTATAACAAGAAAATTTTATTTTTCCTAGTGCTGTTGATTCGTGCAGCATAAAATTCATCAAAACATATTCCTATAAAAACTGCAAGTGGCGTCACGTCAGTAAGAATATGTATTTGATTCAATGGAATAAAATTTAATGTACTTTTTAAAGCTGACTCAAAACGTCTTCACTCTGTACAGTTAAAGTGTTCCTGAATACTACAGTTAAAACATTGCTTTAAGATGTAATCCTGTAACAGAACTTTTGAGTAAAATCTGTTTAAAAGGTTAACAGATATTTATTGGAAAATGTTTAAATTCAATTCAGTCTTGAAATACTACGATCTGAGAAATTTATCGAGAACATACACGCAAAATATTCATAAAAAATAAATGTAAAACAAATAAAAATCGGGAGTGTATATTTATTCAAATACAGCAGGACAGACAAAGATCTCAAAAATAGTCTTTACCTTTTATGACAGTTCGGCTGCTGAGATGTGGTTGTAAGATTGGCTCAATTGATACAGCAGTTGTTGTCTTCGTCGAAACGAAAGATGATGCATTTGACATCTTAGAAAATGAAGGTATCGGACTTAGGCTAATATTTTCTGTTTCCTTTGATTTCGAGGATTCACTAAACGATGGAAATAAAGTTGGTGTATACTCTGAAAGTGTTTCCGTACGTTCTTTTTCATCCTTGTCATCAGTAGCTTCAAAGCTGCTCTTGGCATTGTACCATGAAACAGTTGAAAAGATTTCAGGAATTGGACTATAAAAGACGGGAGTTTCTTTAGAAAATGGTGGTGGAAAAGAGGAACTGCTCATTTGAAAAATCTCTCTCTCCCTGGTTACTAAGTCGTAAGGTTGAATTGTCTTCACTTCAGATGACAAAAGGAAAAACTCTGAAGAATTAACAGAAGAGGATAGTGTAGATGATTCTGTAGGCGTAATAGTAGTAGCTGCGAATAATTTTGTAAGAAATGTTGAGCTTAACGTATGCATTTCAGAGTATAAGAGAGATTCTTTCGTAAATTCACTCGTTGGAATAGTAAAACTACTTTTTGGAAACTGCCTTAATGATCTGTCAGTAAAATCTGCAAAAGGCTCATCAAGTTTTATGTGCTTTGATTTTTCACTTTTATTAATGTGAATTTGTATCACAGATTCATCTTTAGTGATGCCCAGGCCTTCTACTAAAATTATATTTTCAGAAGTTTGAGCCGTTGAGCTCTCTGGAGTGTTCGGAGTCACAGTCGCAGCATTTATTGAATTTTCTGTTGGAAATAATTTCACGCTAGATCGCTGGTGAAGAGTTGAATCTGGCCTAAATGATTTAACAATGCTCCATAAAGCTGGGGAAGTTGTTGCGGCGAAACTTGGCGTGGGATAAAACATTTTATCTTGAAGTTTAGAATCCAAATTTGTAGTTTGCACAGACTGCAAAGGTTTGCACTTCTCCCCGATGAAGGAGCAGTTAGATTGATCAGATATTTCAACAATATGTGATGTAGTAGTGGTTAATAAAGTTTCATTACTAACAGGAAGACTTTCTAGAGGCTTATATTGTTCTTTGAAGTTCACTATAGTTGAAGTATCGACTTCTAGACGGTCTTCCAAAGAGCCACCATTTTCGTTTGAAGTTTCGCGATCGACGCTATTTTCAGGACTAGCTTCACTTTTAGTATCTCCAAAGAGCTCCTCAGAATTCGTAAAGTTCGAAATGCGTTCTCGCGAAAACGTTGACTTTTCTTCATCTTTGGAACTTAAGGAAGAATCATCATTTGAACTTTCATTAGCGGAAAGAGTACTCCTTATAGGCAAATTTCCGATAACTACGTTCAGTTTCTTTTCCTCTTCTTCTTCCGCATGGCTGCCGGTTGCCCACTGGGTCTCTGGGGGGAAAAATAAAAGAAATTTAATTAATAACCACATAATACTCCATCGTATAAAATATGACGCTATGGGGACCAACTATAATAAAGATGTAATTTTAATTCTGTAGTTGGCTAACTTATATTGGTAAAATCTTTCATGGTTGTCTGAAGAGGATATCGTGATTTTGGCCACTCGATTAAGTAATGAATCTATTTTAGCTGCTGTACATGTCACAAAAATATCAAGACAACTTCTAACGAGAAGGAAACAGCATTTAATCTGATACAACTCGATTGGGAAAACACTAGCTGTTAATAAAACATCACATTTACTCTGAGTTTTTTAGTTCTTTTGGCTTGAAGTGATTGTAAAAGATAAATATTTCGCCCTTATGAATGGAGTCAGTACTCCTTTTCGAGCATTGAGTTGCCTAGAGCAGATACAGTGGTAAATCAATTTACGTGCTTTGGTGTCGCACCTTTTAACACATTAAGTTTTAAATAATATTAAATGACAAGTTTTTTTAATAGTAAGTTATGAATCGTAATATTTTCCTGGTGTCATGAATGATAATATTTATCTTTGCCCTATGTTCTTATGTAATGGAATTTTCCTTAAATTTTTATTTGGACTGCATTAATAGAAATTTGCAATTTGTTATGGATCCATAGATGTGGGCTAATTTCATAAATTATTACTTAAATTTTTTATACAAATATACCTCTTTTTACTTATGATGTCAACAAAATAGTTCTATATCAATTTTATGAAAGAATTACTTCCTTTTTTAAAATTATTTTCCTGAATGAAACTGATATGGAAGAAAGACTTTGAAAAATACAGTATTCATGTTTGTATCCAGTTTTAATATGTAACTGACTGCCATTTTAAAAATTAAGTACGACACCCTACCTAAGGACAGTATCGGAAAAAAAAAAAAAAAAAAAAAAAAAAAAAAATATGCAAATTTTCACTTTATTTAGTTGAGAAATAGCGATGCATCTAAGAACAATGAATTTTATCTTGAAGATACTGCCCATAACTTTTAGGCTAGACTCATAGCCGCCGCCAACACCTATGCAACTGGTGCGGTTGCACTGGGCGACAGAATTTAGGAAGGGGGCATAATTTTTAGAATTTAGAAAAGTAACGGCCAGCAAAATTTAAGAATGAAAGAATATCTAGAATTTAGAGGAGGCACTGAGTAGCAGAATTCAGAGGCGGCAAAAATTTTAGGGAGAATTTAGGATCCACCGAGATAGCACAAAGCAGCAAAATTCTTATCGCCGGACTTGGCTAGAATAAGCTAAATGTATTCCTATACCGTATCACGCATAGCTTTAAGAATAAAACACAGTTTTTATTAAATCATCTTTGTGAAGTCTTCGTAAAAAGTTTAATTATTCTTCGGAATTTGATTTTTCTCCTTTACAATTATTTTTTTTAAATTATTACAATAATTATTTATAATTATTACAAAATTCAGATAGTATTAATGTTAGATTTTTTTTTCACAAATCCAACAACATATCCCTTGGCCAAATACATTTCTTTCAAAAATTATTTTGAACTCTTTAATCTCTTCTCTTCAAAATACCGATGATTCGAGAACTACTATATAAATATAAAGTAAAATAAGATTTCAAGTATTACCATGTGGTTAATTATTAAAAAAATAGATGACGCAATGCGTGAAAAATGTTCATGTTTATTTTTTATTCAGATCTGAAATGTGTTCCAAACATTAAAGCATATACGAGTTATAATATAAATGTTATACCGGAGTAAAAAACGGAACTGAAACCCTTGCGTTTAGAGAGCAATACTTTATTACTAAGGTGCAGACCCTCTTTTGAGGGCCAATACTCCAGTGATGATTCTTGGAAATCACCTATACAAGTCTTGCACTGATATGTGCATCAAAACTTATCTCTATAAAATAATGTAAAATTTTTGTATCAGTCTTCTTGCACTAAGTGGTAATACTGTATTTAACTCTAAAACAGTAGGCAGTAAATATGCTAAAACTGGGTATAAACATAAATAATACATTTTTCAGAGTGTACATTTACTGAAGGTACCGTGTTTACTGGTGGTATAGTCGTACCACCGTTTTGAAGCGGAAAAATTCGCTAAAAGTGTACAAAATTATGTACTAAATTTCTCCGTTTAATAGTCGTATCAAGAAAGACTTTCACAATGAAAAATTGGCAAAAAGATTAGGACTATGTGACTATTGCGCGAATAAATACGGTATTTTTAGAAATCCCTCTTGCATAACAGTGCACATTTTACGTCATGAAAAGAAGGAAAACGTTTTCAGTTTTATCCTCTAGCATAATCAGACAGGTTCAATATCAGGACATTTTGCAAAGCATGGAGGATATTCAAACTTCAGTTTCAAGTTTTTCAAGTCATACTGTGATGAGTGTTGTAGTATAAACTAACGCATTGTCACCTTGATACACGATACCTGCTTCGAAATACAGTACTTCAAAAACTGGATAGCTTGGTTGTTTAGACTACATCGACATTCTTTGACAGTGACTTCGTAGTCAAGAGCAATTACTGTTCCCACAGACTTCCATGACAATGTGACATAAATCATCACCATGCTTCAATTCCATGCTTCACTTTAGGCAATTAGATCATACCTTACTACTGTCTTCTCCTTCTTTGAGTATTAACTCTTTGAAGTTCCGACAAGTATTTTCGGCAAAAATGAGTAAATTCAGGAGAATACTGAGTTTTGCCTTAATTTCAGAATCGTTGCTTTACTTATTTATTCATTTTGATCCAATTTTTTTTAACATCCTCTCCGATAACATCCTATTCCCCCTCCCTGGAATTACTCCGACTAGATTTCGCTTTTCTAGGTATCCAAACATAGCCCTAGATACCCTGACGCCGAAAACACCTTGTTTATCAGCTAGATAGAGTATCAGTACATCTGATCATTAGCCAGACACCGCATCAGATGTATCGTAGATTAACATATATCATTTATAGAAGGGTAAACAATATATTCTCTTTTGAACTACGAATAGATCTCCTCTTTATCTCGTATAATTCGCAGTGTCTGAAGTCAATACCTCTAACAAGCTGAAAATTCAATGTTTACATTCTGCTATAGTTTACTACTGATAAAACTCGAAATTGTTCGAAGCTCCAAATCATAAAGGCACACGCGGACTTGAAATCTGAAGTGTTATTACGTTCGCAAAATGTTCCATTGTACAATCTTTATATCTCTAAGTATTGTGAAAATTACAAAGACGTATATTTAATAAGTCTGAAGCAGACCACGAAAAGCAATGAAAATTTATTTTCAGTAAAGTGGTATTTAAACTGGTAATAGAACTGATGTCATTGCGTTGTGTTTCCTACGACCGGTATTAAAACTGTACTCTGTCTTGAAAAATACCCGTCCTAATCATTTTTACCTCCTTAGGTTCCAAGAATCATTCACTAGCGTGCATTAGCAAATCATTGGCACATCACATCATATAAAACTGGTATAATATACAATGTTTGGAATGAAAAAGTTAACTTAGTAAGCATACGAGATCAAGGGATGCATTTGTAGAAGATTTAATGATGAAAATTGTTTAGTACTACTATTTTCTCTTACAAATAAAGAAGGAAAGTCAATTTCAAGTGATAACTGCATTATCTTTTGTAAGTATTTAAGGAGAGTACGCAGTTTGATATCGCATTAAGGGATTTTGCAGGATTATTTTATGTGAAAGACATAAGTGAAAAGTCATATATTGCCGTTTTTTAAGGTACAGTGGCAACAGAAAGAACTTTAAAAGACCAAAGTATTATCTCTCAGGATTGTAGAATTCCGTTACAAATGCTTAAACAATTGACTATTATAACAAAAATAAAATATGTCGTAGAAAGATCTACTTAAGGAGTTTGTGAGAGGATGGTAAAGGTAAAAAAACTTCTCTGAGAAAATTTCTTGGTAGGACTTTATTATCAGAAGAAGAATTACAAACTGTATTAACAGATGTTAAAGTTACCGTTAATTCTCGGCCAATAATTAATATCTATAACAACCCTTTAAAATCATCTCCTTTACCGATGTCCGATATTCTACTCCTCCTGGGCCCTTTATAGTAGGGAAAAGATTGACATTTCTATTTGATCATGAGGCATATCGAAAATATAGTGAAAACCGATTTACTACCAGAGGCTTCTAAGGTAATTTGTGGGAAGGGGGGACACAGAACTGGAATTCTCACAGCCCTTATGTTTTGTGCGTAGATAAAATATTCCAATCCAACTCAATCCTTGCAATTTTCTCTGAAGAAAGCAATGGAAACACTAATAGTTCTTGAAAAGATAATCAACATATGACAGACTACCAATGGGGCTGAGTGGACAAAACCGTTAAGCATCGGTAACCCGGTTTGGGTTCAAATCCTGGAGAACAGGCTTATTGCCTGGTCATTTCCTTATTTTTTTTCGTATGTAAAATGAATACGTCATTTCCCCTTAAAAATCTTTAACGAAGGCATCCCTTCCTTTAGACTCTCCGGTATTTTGTCGTAGTCAATTAAACAATTTAATAAACGGAGCTCAACATTACGCTTATGTGCTGTGATGTCATCAAATTAATACAGCATTTCTGAGTAAAGACAAAATCTGATAAATGTTGCTTAACTTAATATTTAGTTTCTTTCGTTGGCATATTTAAGTATGATTAGGATTTCATTTAGTACAGTAGACTTCCGATTATCCGCGGGCGAATTATCCGCGCCTGCCGCACAGTTTCTTTTTTTTTTACAAGCGCAAAGCAAAGAAAATAAAAATGTTCATAAAACTGCTCACCCTTGCAGTGCCCGCTCCACCGCCCTCTCTCGTCTTACTGACACGTCCACTTCCTCCCACTCGCAATTGTTAGCTTAAGCCTGATAGTGTTTGCGAACCGATCGGAGTTAATTTCTTATCTTTTATTGTGTTCAGTGCTTGTGCTTTTTGGTTTTGTGTTTTTCGTTACCGAATTAAAATGTCAGGAAAACGAAAGAAGGTTGTGTTGACGATTGCGCAAAAACTAGAATTAATTTCCAAAGTAGCAAACGGCGCTACAAGGCAGCAGATGGAATTGGATTATGGAATATCGGAAACAACAGTGCGTGACATTCTAAAGCAAAAAGACAAACTGGTGAACTTTGCATCAATGTCGAACAGTACTTCCGCAATAAAAACGCGAAAAACTATGAAGGGTTCTACCTTTGATGAGCTAGACACGGCATTGACAGAGTGGTTAGCTCAAGTTCAAAAAGAGGGTACTCTTGTAAATGGTCCTATCATTGCGTCGAAGGCTAAAACCTTTTTTGAGTTGTTAGGCCTGAAAGGTAATTTTGATGCGTCTTCTGGCTGGTTGACTCGTTTTAAGCAGCGACATGGAATTCGAGAAATTGGACTTCAGGGAGAAACTTAGTGGTGACAAACAAGCAGCTGACGATTTCCACCGTGAAATTGAAGAATTTGTTTTAAAAGAAGAGCTATCTTTTGAACAAATTTACAATGCCGACGAATCAGGACTTTTGTGGAAATGTCTTCACTTTAGCATTTGAAAGTGAAAGTAAAGAGGCGGGTCATAAAAACAGCAAGGAAAGGATCACTACTAGGTCTTGCAGTAACGCTACCGGTGGACATACACTTAGACTTGTTGTCATTGGAAAGTCAAAAAAACCCGAGATCTTTCAAAGGCACAAGGATAGAAGATTTGCCCGTTGATTACTTTAACCAAAAAAAAAAGGATGGATGAACCGAAACATTTTTCAAGAGTGGTTCGAAAAAATCTTTGCTCTTCAAGTGCGTAAACATCCTAAATCGAAAAACCTGCTTGAAAAAGCTGTGCTATTTATCAAAAACGCATCTTCTCACCCAGCAACAAGCGTGCTAAAGTTTTCTGATGGACAAATTTTTGCAAAGTTTCTCCTTCGAAACGTTACTGCGTTAATCCAACCCATGGACCAAGGAGTCATTGCCACAATGAAGAGAACATACCGAACCAAGCTGCTAATGACCAAAATTGAAGAAGGTTATGATCTGAAAGAGTTTTGGAAACACTGCACAATCTTTCCAGCATCTACGGTATTGCATCTGCATGGGACTCAGTGAAACCGTCAACCCTCATAAAATCATGGAGAAAACTCGTGCTTAATGTTGAAGCCAACAACAACCTAACCCCTTTAAGGTGTGAAGAAGAGAATGAAGATGTAGACACACCCACGGCAACTCTTACCAATATGGTGAAAACAGTTCCGGGTGGTGAGAACGTCGATGCTGGAAACATTAACGAGTTGTTGGAGTGTGACATCAACGTACCTGGCTTCGAACGCTTGACAGATGACGAAACTGGGAAGAAAGAAAGGGAAGAGACCGAGAATGAAGGACAGCGAAGTGAAGGCGAAGAAGAGCTCATTGTGCAGATGCGGAAGACTTACGAAGGGGCTTTGCAACAAGTCGACGGGCTGCTGAGCTATTTGGAAAAACAAGACGACGCGGAGTTGGCCGAGAAAAATTATACTGCGAAAAATGCAATCTCGGATCAAGAGAAAATGCTTCCAAAGCAAGAAGCAAACACAAATGACTAATTTCTTTAAAAAGGTGTAGTTTTACAGTTATGCTTTTGTAATTACATAATATATTACAGTATTAAAACAGTACATACGTATTAATTTTTCTGTGTATCCTTGACGCCTCTCGTAAGTATACAAAGCACTTTTCTGTTTTCATTAACAAAATGCATTTTAGGTTAGTTTTGAGTGATATACTAAAATATTAAGCGTTATTTAAACATTTCCTGCTGTTTATTTTACGTTTTATTGTACATAAAACGATTTTTTAAAGTTGGAATGACTGTTTTCTCTTTTGCTATACCCGTTTTTAGCTTTTTTAGGATTATCCGCGATTTTTGTTATCCGCTGCGGCCGCGCCACCCAATTCCGCGGATAATCGGGAGTGTACTGTACATTCAAGTAAGATAAAATAATGAATAATGAGGACATTAGAGTTAAAACATCAAAAACTCAAACATATGACTTAAATACGACACATGAGAAAGGAATAATATATTAAATGAAAAGAAATTTTTAAACGGAAATAATTTAAAGAAATAATTAAAATTTGACATTATACGTTCACCAAACTATATTCATAACAGAATTCAGTTTGGTACTATTCGGTTTTGAGAGCCGTAAAAAATCGCCAGACTATTGTTGATGCCAGTGCTGCCAAAAATAACGCAAGAAAGGAAGTATGACAGTAAATAACTATCTAAGATTGACGTTTTAATTTAGATAAAAGTTTAATTTCATATAATACTTTTTTATTATTATAATTTATATAAAAAAGGCTAAACATGACTGAATGGAAGCATAAGAGTAAATAACTATTTCAGATCATTATTATAATTTATATAAAAATTGCTAAACATAACTGAATGGATGCCTGCATCGCTATTTCGCTACCGAGTTATCGCTAAAGCATAGTTTCATCTCGTTGATTGTTCGAACATAATTTTCTATAATGAATGATGCCTTTTCTTTGAAAATATTCTCGGTAAAGTGCAGAATCGCCCACTTATTTGTTTGCCGCTTTTTACAAGAGTAAAAAAAATTGGATTTTTGTCAATTTTCTTTTACTTTTTAAGTGAAAACAGGTCGATGTGTACATAGATAAAGTGAAGGATGTGCGCAGTGCCATTTTTGTGCAATTTAGGTTTTTTTTTTTTTTTTTTTTTTTTTTTTTTTTTTTTTTTTTTTTAAAGTGAAAATAGGTCAATGTGTACATGGATACCGAGTATGTGCAATTCTTAAAAACGCGTCAAGCAGTGGGTGATTCTGCACTTTGCGCTAAATTCTATTGCAGACCTTTCGTCATGGGCAATTTCCAAATTGTTAAATCCATAGGATATCAAAAAAGGATTTAAAGATTAAACTATTATTTCAATGGCGTCTTGAGAAATATAGAACTGTATAAACTTACGCAATCTGAAATCGGCGCGTAAACTAGATTTGGCGTGCTGTTAAATGGGCGCGTTTGCTAGATTTGGCGCTTTTGCGCATACATTTTCGCAATTTTTTTACGGTTCTGAAAACGGAATAGTACCTTCAATTTAAAATAAATGAGAAGTTCCTCTGAAAAATATTGCATTTGTATCATAATTAATTGGTTATTTTATGTTTCTAAACTTTTCTGTCACTTCTCTCTTTCCGTTTTCCTGTCAGAATATAAAATTTAGCTTGCGCGTATTTAAGTGAGGGTTTGAGATTGCTTTGGTCAGAGCGTGTTCCGGCTGTTGAAATCCACGTTACTAGTTGATATAACAACACTCCTCTCCCCGGCGTTGCTTTAATCTTGCAAATAGTGCTGTCACGCCAGTGCAGGTTAGAGCCAACGGGCTAGCCTTTGGCTAACTTAAGATGTAATTCAGTTTAAATCTGAATCCTCATTTTTGAGTTCACGCTGGTTTTATAAGCACCAGAAGTGCCATCTGTGAAACTTATTTGAGTTTTTAACAAAGCAAGTCCTTGACATCCTTCTTACGTTTCTGTTTGCTTCACTAAATATAGCGATAAGTCGCTTAGTTCCATTTAGAGTGTTGGCTTAGTGTATATTGTCAAAACGACTAACACTCTACAAATTCATAAATGAGAATCCGAAAGAAATCACTTATATGATGCAACTCCCAGTCATTTAGAGACCTATGACTTCTAACCTTTAATTATAAATTTAATAAAAAAAATTAACACCTACCAGTCTCTAGTCGACTGAAATAAAACAATCTATCGTACAAAATTACTTAATCACAACGTACCTGTTTTTGTTCTCCAGACAAAAGCTGCAAGCAGTAACAAGATGCTCGATATTCTGAAAGCGGCTATCATGCCGTCGTTGTAATAGTTGATACTTTAGGCGACATCATTTTTGATGTCAACTGCGAGCAACTAAATTTAGCTTGGAAGGAACGAGCTTATCCAGACAGTTTGTGGAAACATACCTGCAAAATGAAAAAATATTCTATGATTTTTCATTGAATCAAAAATTTAAGTCTAATAGTTAAAAAAGTAAGGATGTAAAAATGAAAGTGAGACCAAGTTGGATATTAGGTAATATCGCTAAGTTCACGAGCAAAAATCACATAAGAAAATATTTTCAGGCCTTTCGTTTGCATTTAGTCGCGGAAAGAATAAGACCTCTGAATACTAGTAGTTAGTCCCCGGATAATGTTGTTGTCCTAATATTGTATTGCTTTTATGCGTTCCGGGGCCCACCAGCGGCCGAGCGGTAAAGACGCTGAACACTGGTAGTTCGGTCTGAGGTTCGAATCCCGCGAACGGGCTGGCTGAATGGGTGTTTTCGTGGTTTTCCCCCATGTGTAACGTGTATACGAGCCAGTTCCCTTAAAAAGTCCTCCACGAAGGCATACCTCCCTTAAGGCAGATAGCCCTTGAATGCTTTGCCGTAATTTAATAAACCAAACCTTATGTGTTCCGGTTTCATTTCCTTGCAAGTTGGATACTGTATGAGATTTTCCTCTTCCGCAATGTGAATCGTCATCACCAGGCCCCCTCCTCTTCCGAGTGACATCATTAATGAAGAAATTAGCAGACATAATATTTTATGTTTTTATCCCTTGGTCAGCCTAAGATTTGTAGATGTTAGATTTACATTTACTAAAAATTTTAAAATATTTAAATTTTTGCGTAGGTAACTCCAAATTGTTCCCTTAAAACTTTTGCACGAAGGCATTCTTTAAGAAAAACTACCCAAGAATGGAAAAAATGCATCCCCTCCCCCCTCCCAAAAAAAAACAGATTTTATCTGCGAAAGACTAGTTCATATTATTCTCGGAAAAAATTTCAATTATATCAAAATGTTAAGAAATGCACTCTTTCTGTGCATTAAATTTCAGCTCCTCTTTAAAGTCAGCCCGTTCACCGGCATTTGAATCCGGATCAAACTACCAGTATTCAGCAGTTTCAGAGCTGAATGAACCTAACTTACGTCTTTGTTTGCTTAACTAAATATAGTGATAAGTCGCTTAGTTCTGTTAGTTATCTTGGCTTAGTCCGCTTAGTTAGATTGGCTTAGAGTATGTTATCAAAACGAGTGACACTAACCCTGGTGAGTCCATAAATTCATAAGAATTAGACTCATATAACGCTGAAAAAAAATTTTTTTGATTGATCCTAGATTGCAATTTAGCATTAATTTTATTACATTAATGACAGAAATATTTTCACAGTGGATAATATAAAATCATTGTCATGTATTTTCATGAACTTTGATGGAAACTGATGTTAAGATAATGACATATGAATTAATACATAACATTTAACAATAGATAATAGCTGCTAAAGAAATTAATGAAATTTGTGATTACATATGTTAACGTAAAACATGACAGCTAATAACAGACTTTAGGGAACGTAATATGCAGTTACATTTGTTTACATACGAATTAACGCCTAATATGATAACTGGCAATAAATAAGACAGAACTTAATAAAATCTTTTATTTTTATACTTTTACATCGAAAATATGTGGAAGAATTTTATACGAGTTTATAAAGGTGATACATATTATACATCACTAGATCTAAAAGCGATTTTGGAAACCTTCAACGTGTTACATCTTTAATCTTTTGTATCGTGTGACTGTTCATATATGATTCATAGAAATGTGATTCTGCTGAGATTAATAGTTTTTGGCAGAAATGAAAAGTTAAATGTACATTATAATTTTATACGAAATATCGATGAAAGTGACCTTCTTTTTCAATCAGTAGAATTTGTAAGGGAATCGTATTACGAAAATTATGGTTTAGATAATGTGATACTCGCAAAGAAATCGAGGACTATTTGCGCCTAAGGAGAGGGAGCTTACGTGAAGGATTTTCTTAGGGAAACTGGCTCGTATACTTGTAGAAAGCCACGAAAACACCCATGCAGCCAGCCCGTTCGCCGGGACTCGGAACTCCGAACCGAACTATCAGCTTTCAGCGATTTATCGTTAAGGCCGCTGGTGCGTTTTGCTAAATTTATGAAACGAAGAAAATGAAAATTATATTTGAAATAATAAAACAAACAAACGTCTCAGAACAACGAATATGATATTATGATGAAAAATATATATGGTGAAAGTTATGATCTTGGTCATTCTAGTAATTTTATATTAAAACTAATTTTGAAAATGTCTACAAACTTTTGTTTCAAAAAAGTAATAAATAATTATCACATACCTGTAACTGAAACGAAGTCATGCTAAAATTATCTGTAATAAATTCAGCCGCAGTTTTTATGAATAAAAATATGTACTGTTTTGAATATTTATGATTAATTTTAATAAGAAATAAACATTTAGTGTTACAACTGCTATGGATCTTTTAAACAAATGTATCTTTTTTTGCTCCATGTAAGTTGCGGAAAAAAAAATTGCAATATGTATCTTTTTTTACTGTAAATTAAATCAATTAAATACATTACAAAGATATAAATAATTCAGACGGACAAAATTACTTCTACATCAGTCAGTTTGTTAAACAATGTATTGCTTTAATTTGAAAACTAAACTAAAACCCTTACGCCCGAAGGAATGACAACACTTTCCGAAACTGGAAAATTTTCCAAGTAGCCTAGAACATATAGCGTGAAGAACGATACTTTTCAAAAGTGGAAATTTATCAGACCACATAGATGACTAACGGTATGATTTGAAAAACTGAATAAATTATAGATATTTTAAACGTCTACAGAATAATACTATTTTTTTTATTCAACAGTTCAATTTTTAACACCTGAATCAAATTAAATTCGAGGGAGAAATTTGGTTTTTGAAATCACTGTTTCATATTTTCTCAAATAAAACTAAAAAATCACAAAGCACGTCATGTAAAGAGAAAATTCGAACAACTTCCAGATATTATGATGTACCATATGGAAATGAGAGGAAAAGAAAAGAAATTTAACGAGCGGGAAACCAAAGCGAATTCTATCATTCAGTAGGCACACGTGAGTAAAACTTGATTGCTTTTAGAAAGGAAAACAGGAGATTAAGGTAAACAAGGCGAGATTGTACGGAGGAAAAAAAAAAGAGAGAGAGAGAGAGAGAGAGAGAAGGAAGAGGCAAACTGGTTTAATGTAAGTTAGAACAGGAAATCGCACATGAGGGTGCAAAGACCAGTCAAGAACGTGATTGAACGTGGAACATAAAAATGTATTATACTCACAAATAAAAAAAGGGGGGACACTTTTAAAGCCACGAGAAAACTGTTATAAACGCTAATTTTAAAACAGATATCTGAAAGAAAGGAGTACACAAGGAAAAGAAAACTTCAATTTCCCCCCCCCCTTTGATTTTATTCAGCTGCTGGAAAACTTTCGAATACCAATAGCACAATTGTAAATAAATTCCAGCTAGATTTTCCAAAATAAGCAATTCTTTGATATTTCATGTGGCCTGGATAAATTTTCGGAATGACTATTTCATCAGTCGCGATGAGGCATTCTTAAAATAATGCACATAATTATATCTTTGTCAAATATAAGTCCAAAATGCAAAGAGTTTTCTGTTTGCTGACTATAATTAAGGCAATGCGCACGAAGGTTTGCGGTTTGTTGGCATGGTGTTAGGGCAGCTGGCTGCCATAACCTTGCGCATGGATTCGAATCACAGAGAAGGCCTGGATGTTTGTAAATGCCTAGTATTCTTGCAGCGTGAGATAACTTAAAACACTGTCGGGCCGAAAGTTTCCTCCAGAAGCTGATGGTAGAAAAAGAACAGGAAATACTTGGACCTGTCCCAGAATTGGAGTGGAGCTGGAAATTCTCCACCGGAATTAGGGCGGAGCTGGGCAAACTCATACTGTCACTTCATAAGGTATTACTCCCGCCTTCTTAGCATGCCTTCGTAGTGTAGTGGCCTGCACGCTGGGCGCGTACTCCAGAGGTCCGTGGTGCGATTCTCGGTGAGGGAGTGCCTCATTTTTCATCACTCCTGCTTCCAATTAACCTAATGTCTCTACACTGGTGCCCGGACTAAAAGAGTGGTAGATCATGATTCTCCACACCCAGAATTTGGCGATTCGGTACCCTAAAAATCCCAGTCACCCTTTAAAAGGGGAAGTATATAAGGTATTTCTCCCGCCTTCTTAGCATGCCTTCGTAGTGTAGTGGTCAGCATGCTGTTCCAGTTTTAAAGCGTAGTTAAAGCATTTTTTTTATCGCTCTCATCTTTAACGCATTTAAAATTTTCATAAATCATACTTTCCAACAACGCAGTGCATAACATCAACCTGAATCGTACTCGCGTAATTTTGCCCAAAATTGAAACAGTTATGGATTTATGTGCAGTGGTGTATTTTATACCTTCGCTAGATATGGCGTAAACATATTTAACATCCGTGTTTATAATTGTTTATTATAGATGTTTTTTGTAAATATACTTTTCTCTTTTAATACAGTCTATTCTGAAAATTTATGTTTAAAGGTATGTAACTTGAAATTTCATGAATATGAAAAATCAAAATTTAGCTTTTCTTGTTTAATATTTGAATTCAATTCCCTATTACATGTTTTTCAAGTTAATAACCGCTAAACATACAGTTCATTAAGAAAATCAATATTCACTTTTTATTGTAGCGTTGATTTTTTACCCAATGTAGTGTTATATAATTGTAATCTGGATCTAAAGTACAATATTACTTAAGCTTGAACGAGAAAAGTTTTTTTTTTTTTTTTTTTTTTTTTTTTTTTAAATTGCAAACAACACAAGTTTACTTTGTCGAGTTTATTACAAAAATATAAGATCGGCAATAACCATATCTACTGAAAAGAAAAGATTCAATTACTGAATTATTATATAAGGTATTTCTCCCACCTTATTCAGCGCCTTACTGAGCATGCCTTCGTAACGTGGCGGTCTGCACGCTGGACGCGTATTCCAGAGGTCCGTGGTTCGGTTCCCGGCCTAGTATTCTTGCAGCGTGAAGGTGTTTG